AGGGGTATCAATAGACTCGTTATCAAACATACCAAACTTCCGAAAGTATTCCGTCTGTATTTCCAAATAATCCTCATCCGTAAGTTCCCGTTCATTGTCATGTTCCACCGTTGGAAGCGGTGTAACACCATGTCTGTGAGAGGGATTTGGTCTTGACAACAACCACTCTCAATCACTGCTGCTCAATGTACCTCAACAACTGCCACCTCATGGACAAGGCGATTGCAATCCGTCGCCGAGCCTATTTGCAGAAAACTCGGCACTTGCAGAGGATGACCTTGTGACGGCTCAGGTGGTGCTGTGTTTTGTGATTTCCAGTGTTGTGCCGTGTCACATTGTCAGGGAGATGAGGTTGGGTAATCACCCACAAGAATGCCGTCAAATAGTTGCAACATGTTAAGTGCTCAGAGCTGGTCCCTCCTTATTAAGTGCATCAAATCCATCTCCCTGTTCCCATCTGCAGTCCAATTTCCATGGACTATGAGTACTAACCGAATTGTATGTGCCAGTAAAGGACATAGTTGAGTACCAGCTTGGCCCTGGTCCCGAACAACCGTATCTTTCATCCATTCAGCTTCTTGGTGTACAGTCGCTTTTTTTTTTTTTTTCTCTAAGTCAGATCTCGATGCTGTGTATTGCCTTTGTTAAAGGCTCTTTTCAGAGCCTATATGGTGTAGTGGTGACTATGCACCTCCAGACAGGTATGGCTGAAAATGGTAAGGTCTTGGGTTCGATTCCCGGTCCAGGTAAAGTCAAATGGATCAAGCAGCCGTCACTAGATTAGATATCAGAAATAGATAGCGAACTACATAAGTACTTAGATAGTGTAAATAAATAGAAATAGAATATGAATAAACTATGTGAGAAACAAATACTATAATAAAATAAAAAGAAAAGGCAATAACAGTTAAAAATGGGGTAGGGGTACAGATAAATCTTCTTTTGCGTCCTAACCATCAATGACTTGATCAAGCCATCGGCGCCGCTCAATCTAGTTGGTCTGGCTAGATCAACCTGGCAAGTGTTCTTGATCAAGCAAGATCAAGCTGCACAGCCTTGACTGGCCCGATTGGGTAGATCAAGCCCCTAGGAAATTTGCGACAAGGGATAACATAAGCTCCGGGACATTGTTGAATAACAGGTGCATCAAGTCGACCGTGAAACATTTGGGTGGAGGTAGAGTATCGAAGTGCTGAAATAAGTGATGGTTTGCTGATGCTGGTGTCCTTTCGCTGGATTTCGTACTCTCCCTGGGTTTTGGCATCGATGATCTTCTTGATGTCGTCCTGATACTTCTCAATGGTTGGAAGCTGGACGTGTCTGAAATCGAGGTCAGGGTGGGTGCATCCTTCGACGTTGTAGCTGTGAGGAAGTAGGTGCACTGAGTAGTAGTGCCTGCATCCAGGCTTGTGCCGGCCCTTCATTGGACAGCCAAGTCGGCAACCATGTGCTCCATGGTGCCCAACACGGCCATCTAACTCCACCAGACCAACAGTATCTGCAGTTCCAAACGCAAAGAAAATCTGTGAGCTAATGATACATAGCATCCTTCATAGCATCGTACATCCGCAGCCCTGCACCATTTCCTCCATTCTGCAGAGCGGAGAGGTGATAGAGTGACCTATACAGGAAAGATCCCACATTCTGCGGCTTCTCTGGACTAGGAATGATAAACGCTGGGAGGATATGACGACGCTTGTAGCAAATGGCGGGATCATAGTCGTAAATGATCCATATTCCGAACCAAGTGTCGGATTTCTTGTCCTGGTAAAGCTGTGCTCCATCGACGGAGAGTCCAACAAAGATGTTGTCTTCAGTTGGGGAAGGAATGCCCAACATTGGCCCTATATTGCGCAGGTCTTGACCACAAAAGATGTCGTCGTAGGTTGCATCGATGCCATGGGACTGGAGAAGCTCCGCCATCTTTTTAGACCTGTACTGCATCGCTAGTGAGCCTTCTTTGGACTGTCGAAGTGCTTGAAGCTGTGGGCCGAGTGGTATTGTGCATGCCTGCTGTCGTGAAACCTTCGCTTTGCTGCTGTTGCGGGTTGGAAGATATTGAGGCTCCCCGCATTTGCATAAATCTTTGTCCTTGAGGTGACCAGTAAATGCATAACAGCCCTTGATACACATGTCGTCGTATACAGGGGAGATACCGGTTAATTGTTCAACGACTTGGCGAACGCGGTACAGCGAAAGAATGTCCTTTTCTGGGTGTTCTTTCAGCAGGAGGTCACGGACAGAATTGTAGATATTGTTAGGTGCTGAGGAACACGCAAAGTAGAGGTCAAGGGAGAATTTCCACTCTGTCAGCTGGTCTTCTGTCAATGGTTTCTCGGGGTTGCGTAAATGTTGTAGTGTCTCTGTAGATAGCTTGTCGTTGTCGAGTGTGGCTTCCTTGATGGAGTTGAGGAACTCGAGCGTGAACTGTACGTGCTCGAGAGTTGACGACTGTAGCCTGTCTGTATCATCTGTCGATGCATCCTGTTCGCCAGGTCCACGGAAGGTTTGGCAATCACCAGGACTGTCAACCCTTTGGTTAGTATCCTGCCCTGGTGTCGCCGCCTGCTGTTCCGTAGAACTGCATTCCTTGGTTGCGTCATATTCACCCTCTCCCTGCCGACCATCCATACCACTCTCCCAGGGGCCTCTAGCATCAGTACTGTCCTCATTGTCCTCGTTTGCGCTGTCCAGACCACCCTGACCTGCACCGTTAGTACCTGGTGTATCTGTAGCTCTATCAGTGCGCTGGGTACCACTCTCCGGTCCTTGAGCATCACTGGATCCACTAGATTGTGTGTGTTCCCGGCTTCCTTGACATTCGTTGGATGAGGCTGTTACAGTTTCAGACCCACGAGCACCCGAATTGACAGTGCCACCAAATCCTGATCTCAGCAGGGATGCTCCGGAGCTCCCAGACTCGTCGGATTCATGGGGGCAGGGACTAGAGCGTCCAGGCTCCATAGGAGAAGTAGATATCTGAAGATATGAATATGTAAGAGGACACAGACATGTGCACATATGGTTCCACATACCATGGACCCGCGTATCCGTTTCGAGTTCCCCCGCTGCAATCCATCCTCCTCGACATTCTCTGCTGGCTTTCGTTTCATGCTTGCAACAGAGTTTGTGTGAATACCCGGTCCTTTGGCCAGGCGTTGTTGCTCTTTCTGGTGGTTCCTGACAGTACGCTTGCTCCTCAATGTACCGTGACAACGAGAGCAGTAGCACCGCTCCTGCGGCTCAGGAGCCTGATTTCCAGCTTTGCGATGTCGCCCCATGTCAGGAATTTCACAGCCAGGTTAATCAAGAACTTAGACAATGTGACATTAAAGAGCATTAGAGAAAGGTTACAGCGCCCAACAGCCCTCCTCGACGCGGCGCGGCTGTGGGGTGATTGTGAGAAACTAATCTTGACCCAAGATTAGTTTGATGGTACACTCGGTCTTGTGTCGGTTTTGCTTCAACAATCATCTAATTGAGTAGAAGAATACCAATAATGTTCTTGTTCGGAGTCTTATGAGAGGAGCAGATATCTGCAGTGATTGTTTAATCTTAATTTGAGAGGTTGATAAATTAATATAATTTCAAAGGTTTAGAGTGGTTGCATAGTCAAAAGGATAGTAGTAGCGTGGGTGGGGGGCTCGGAGTGGCGAGCTTGAAATTGAGTCTCGCGTGCTTCTGCGGGTTGTAAGGCCGATGTAGATGGAGTCGGGTAACCTTACTCTACTACTATCCAGGTGTGGGTGGGTGGGAAAGCGAATAGATAAATTTGAAAGGGAAGGAGTTGTGAATGTTTCAGGCGCGGGCACCACCATCGACTCGCCCGCCCGCCTTTACAGAGCCCTGGAGCCAGGTGTATACACCACTCGGGAAGATCGCGGGTGCTGCATGTATCTGGCCAGCTCTCACCCAGCACCTTTTGGTCCATCCTATCCTCTTTCCCCGCTTCTCAGTCGTCCCACTCAAGATCAAAAGTAGCAACATTCACGGCAGACCTTTTTCTTCCGAGTCTTCGACCACGTTCCGTACCACCGTCTACAATTCATTCATCCACGCGCCGCTCTCGCTGAATCTCCAAAACAATCATACACTCACTACTGTCCAGGGCTGAGGGTCGAGAATGAAGTGCAGGCCCTGCAGTTAGATGAGTTTGGGTATCAGAGGGCGCAGTGGTGGGGTGTAGACAGTGCGGTGGTGGGGAAATACGATGCTGCTGGCGTCTCGGATTCGCCGACCTGCATGCGTGCGTTCATCGCCAGACCCACCTGCCTGCCTGCCATCATAATCCCCGACGAATCGTTCCCCATGGTGTCGCCCAATTTCCGAACCAACCATACCCACTGCAGAACCTCGCCATGCCGGTGGACACTGTGGTAGGGTGTAAACAGTGCGTTGGTGGGACAGACAATGCTTCTCGCGTCCGCCTGCCCACCGCTGTATGCGTTTCCTTCCCCTTCGACCATTGGACCCCTCCCACCGCCCGTTGTCTTCTTCTTTCGGGGCTCTATCCGTGTCTACGGTGCAAAGAGAAGCCAGTGTATCGCTCTCACCAGTGGTGGAGAGAAGGGGGTCTTGAAGATCGTCAGTCAACTAGGGCAAAAGCGCAGATCCAGCCTCCTCAACCAAAGCGACGCCGGACACGTCATCGCCATGGCGGCTGTCCTCGTCGAGCCGCGATCGTGTCTTTTCCTCGTTGGCCTCGTCTACACCATTGACAGTGTACGCCGCCCAGCAGACGTGGTTCTCGCTCTCGCCCTGCAGGTGGATGCGTTATGGATGGCAGCGTGTCGAGTGGTGAAGGGGAGAGAGGATGCTCGAAATCGCTATGGTTGGAGATGCGGGGAAGGAGCTTGGGTGTAACTGCGTGTGCTGGGATCCGCGGTGAGCTGCTCCAGGCGGCCAAGTTTGAATAGCGTCGCTGAGGGGCCGAGGGAGGGATGTTCGAACTGATGCAGCGAGCAACGAAGGGAGGAAGAGAAGCTAGTGAGCGTTTTTTTCGTGCTGTATTAATGAAATGTTGCTGATTCGAGTGTACTTTCGTCTAGGATGGGGATGGGGATGGGTGTGCGGCGCCGAGGTACGTTTACTGTTCTCCGGTCTGCTTTCCTGAGTGCCTGTACTGACATAGGGATTTTGCATATTGCCAGGCTGACCGATGGAGGACAACACTGATTCTCGCGGATCGCTGCCGCACCACGCCAACCCACTGCCTACCACTGCTACTATCCCACAGCTTCGTATCCATATGTATCTGGCGAGCTCGGTATGTCTGGACCAGCCAGCGTTTGGGCGATATTTTTGAAACAATGAAATAGTGAAAACGGTGTTCTGGCGTATAGATGTATTGGTATCCTCCCCCATCTCCATCGTCGTAGCCAAGATCGACAATTCCCGACCTCTCACCCAACCTCCAATTCAACACCGAACCCTACACTACCCAGTGCCGAAACTGTGGAATGAGGTGCAGGTCCTCGCCCTGCGGGTGGATGAGTTTGGGGGTGAGGGGGCGTGGGGGCGTAGTGATAGGGTGCGGAGAGCGTGGTGTTGATGCTGGGGTCCTGGATCCGTCGACGTTAACATGCACAACCTGCCCTCCTGCTGCTCGCCGTCTGGGTAGAGTTAGGACTCATGTTAGAAGCCCTGACCCACCGCGTGTTAATAAACATATTCATAAACGGCTGGTTGATGCACGGGGGTATCGACCGTTGTTCAGATGACATCAGTGCGGCGGCAGCCGTTCATTGGG